ACCCTTGTGCAGATCTCAAACACCACCAGTGGCGAAGCTACAATCGGTACCATGCTTCGATCGTCGCCGCACAGGGCCTCACTTATCCGTACGACGGCTTGCCTCGGCGGAGGCCCCGAGGGCCATTTTCAGGACCGGATGAATGGTTTGGACATCATGTTCTCAGGAGATCACTTGGAAATTCAGAGATATGGAAGCAGGTACGGGACGACAGCATTAATCGAAGTATCACATCGACAGTATGTTTGCCTGCCCATGCAGGTGAACGGTGGCTTGTGAACCAATTACACCGACCGGTGTGATGACGAAATCCTCACCGAGTTCTGCGATACGAAGACCTGTTGGGCGCCATATACCTGCGGCTATGGCGTCGGGCGCCGCTGTTCTCCCAGCGGCCCGCTTTGCTTCTCTTCTCTTAATCTGACCAAACTGACGGAGACTATCTCTTCCAGGCACCCGCTCTTTTTCAGGAAAGTCACGCCAGATGCAACGCTTTTCGATGAGGGTGGAAGAGAGGTGGGTAGGGTGACTGACTTGCTAATATCACTCACTCAAAACTACAGCAGGCCCGTGTCAGTCACGAGTATATGAGCATGTGTGTGTTGTCTCCTGTCTCTTTTTCCGATTTACTGTCTTTCTGCCGGCTAGTGCTAGCATTCCCTTGCACTGTCCTGGGTGGTTGATTCGTCGTATGTCTGATTGTATTGGTGTGATGGCGGTCGATGAGAGGGAAGATGGATTGAGTGACTATGGTGTTCATATCGTAATTCACACGGTACAGTAGGCCTATGTCGTAGGTACAAAATTAAATGGAGTTAGGACAATATGTTTTTTCTCAGTCGCATGGTGCCGTGCCTTGCTGCAATTGCTTCCTTCCTGCCGTAATGTCCGGCGAATTCAGTGTTGTCTCTATGCGCATTGTCTGCATCGGCCTGCCTTGCTGTCTGCCATCGACTGATCGGTGATGGCTGCGAAGTGTGCATGACTGAGGGAATGACGAGTGTACGGTCTGCGGCATTTTCCGCCGCATCGGTTGGTGCTGTGCTTTTGTGTGGTGGTGTGGCGTAGTGTTGGACACGTGCAGATGATAAATCTGTGTCATCTTTCCAACGCGACCCCAGACACATCAAGCCTGAGGTCACGGCACGATGGCTTTCGCAACAGGATCCAGATCTGTTGGTCGTCTTCACTGATGGGTGGGTGTGGTAGAAGAGACGGTGCGCAAGAGCCCCTTTCTTAATCTCTTACCCACAGGTACGACACGCTGCTGCGGGTGCCAAATGAAGAGCTGGAGCGACGTGTGCGTCTGCTCATACCTGACAATAACAACACGACCATCATCGTCTCCAGGTGTTTAAGTGATTTCAGTCACCACTCACGGAAACCTTCTGTCTGTCTGTCTGTCTGTCTGTCTGTGTCTCTGCGTTCTGCCAATGGCCCCGACTCGACAGCGAGCTTGGTATAGCGCCCGCGATAGACATAAGACAAATGACACAACTGACGAAAAACTGACACTGTACAGCCCCAACCGACCGACAAGTCGGAGCCATCCACACCGACCGACATTCATTGCCAATCGTCTGGTGTCCCTGATTCTGAAACTCACCGAAAGACAGACGGTCAAATACTACGAGCACAAAGCACCAAAAAGAGCTAGGCATAGAGACGTGCCGACATACGGCCTCGCGCACACAGCACAGGACTAGCAGCCATGTATGTATCTCAATTGGCTGCCTCGTCCCATTCACTCGACACGCACGCGGAAAGATGACGGTCGTGGGATGGGCCAATTAGGGAAGGCCTCTCTAAGGAAATTGAGGCATGCTGAACGCTTCGCATAGTGATCGCCGCGCTTGGACAGAGACTCTTTGCCAGGAGAGAGACCATGCACAGGCGAATCCTCCACAAACACACCTGCACCATGCACCACCATGCATCGGTATGTGTAGGGATTGCCTGCCCGCCCGCCCGCCTGTGAGTGCTCACATGATTCTTGTTCGTCGCCACTGACGTAAGCAGCGAGCCAGTTGAAAAGGAGGTCTTCGCAGTTCCGCTCGCAACTTGTCACATCAACCACCTGTCTGAATGATGCATGCATGAAAGCAAGCAAAGGTACGCGTAGGCAAACGACATTGAGCTAGTGTGTACCGACCGAGGCACAAGCTTCATGTGGTCCAACATGAGCGACGTTGGCCACAAGAGCCGCGTCCGTCAGAGCAAGATTGTCTTGGCCGGTGCCATAGTACAGGGCCTTTGTGCCATCCACACACTGGCGAATCGACCTCCGAGTGTCGGGGCCACTGATTATCCGCCTCGGAAATAGCCTTGCTGCCAATAGCAAGTTCTGGATTGTGGCTGCAGGCATGGAAAACAGGTCGAGGAACGAGCAGCAGATCCCATACATATCGACCCCCCAGTCTGCGTGCGTACCGCACTGCCAGTCGAAGATCGTGTCATCGTCTAAAACGAACGTGAAGGGTGTATCGATGGACTCGGCGACATAAAACCTCTCACCCAGGTCCCTCTCTCCCGGGAGCACTCGAGTCTTCGTCGAGTTGAGCCCTGTTAGTTGCTCTTGCAGCACCCCTCGGAAGTCATCGATGGACTGGCCGGGCGGCACCCACGTGTCAAGCACGACTTCCTTGACGAGGACGCATTTCTCGAGCTTGCGGACGTAACGATTGATTCAGCGCTCCGAACAAAAAGGGCCCATCGTCACAGCCACAGTAACTGAGTCCTGCATTGAACGGCGGGAGAGAGCAGGGGCAACAGTGTCTGTCTGTCAGTCTGTCTGTCTGTCTGTCTGTCGCAGTGATGAATCACCTGTAAGTTGTCTGTGTTGGATTCGTTTCTCCGCAGTGTCAGCGTGGTCTGGCTGCTGAAAGGCACGTACGAATGACGACGACAGAACGACATCCCCATTGACATCACCAAGCACAGACACTAAAGGCAGCAAAAGCGCCATCCACCCACATATCCAGACCGTTGCGAAGCCTCACGATGGCACCCAAAAAAGTCAAAAGGCCATGCATATGGAAATCTCTGCAGGCAGAAAATGTGACTGACGGCTTGGAAGCCGTCAGCACTCTCTACAAGCACTCGTCCTATGTCTTAGCTAACGCAAGGCCCGATCCAGCCGATTCACCATCTTCACTTCTAGAGCCTTGAGGGCCACAATCTCGCCCTGCTGCCATCACTTTTCTTTTCCAGTGCATCGGCCTTCCGCTGGAGTGCCCGCGCCACGATCATCGTCTGACACAACGGTCGACAGACGTGGGACAGCACAGGAGCGCAGCTGCGGAATGTGAAGCGCATGTTTGTGTGCTTACGTGTGATAGAGGAATTGATTTGTTTCGACGTAGAGGGAAGGGCTGTCCTCAGCCTCGCTGCCGTGCAGGCCCGCATACAGTTCCTTGTCCAGAGGCCCAGTGCGTCGTATGTCTCGCTCCTCCTGAGACCCACTCCCCGTCTCCTCCTCTGTTTTTGACGACACACAAACGGAGACATCACATTCACCAATGCACTCATCCCGTCCGTTGCCTGTTCTCTTGCTCGTCCGCGTGCGTGCCTGCCGTGTATGTGTGCCTCTTGTGTCCTTGAAGCGTTCGTAGATGTCTCCCAACTCTTGCTCGGGCGTGGCATCGACTGTGGAGAAGCTGGTGACGGTGACCTCGCTGGTTCGGACAAAAATCCTCTCGCTCCATATTGCCTTGATCGCGTTTGCTGCCAAAACCCACATCAAGAGGCAAATTTGTGGGTGAAGCCACAGGTTCATGAAATTTCAGTGGCTCTCACCTCGCCTTGTCCGCCAACCAACTCCCAGTTGTTTTCGTCTGCTGTGAGGATATGTGAGGAAAGCAGGGTCGGGCAAGCTGTCCCCAGGCCTGCGGCACATTGCGGCACTCCCATTCCTGTCGCATACGTAAGTACACGTCCACGCGCGTGCCGTACCTTGTCCTTTTTGTGTTTTGTCAGTCCCGATTGGAGCGTCGTGTTCCCCGACAGTCCATCGCACCAGAGCGCCTTGATTGCGCCGACTTGCGGAGGGGAAGGCGTGCGCTGACCAGTGGAACCACAAGCCGTGAGAGGCAAGATCTGTACAGGGTGCACAGCCGTTAGCCGGGAAAGGGGTTTGGAATTTTTTCTTGGGTGGATGTCCGGAATCCGACACACATTCTTCCTCGTTCACCTGTCCGTCTTGGCTCTTTTGGTTGCAAAAGATGCCTCTCCTGCTGCCGCGCTCGAGCAGAAAGCGATGCACTCCATCGAGGTCCGCATACACACGGAGGATCACCACTTCGCCACAACAAGTGTGCGTCTGTCTGTCTGTCTGTACGTGTGTGTGAGTGACTGCAGGACATGTTATGCTTTATCTTCCCCGAGACCTGCCCTCTGCCACTCACTCCGTAGGCGCACGAGTGACCACACAAGCGAAGCAAACGCTGGTGCTGTCCCCATTCCAGGTCGCCGTTCCTCACTGCGCGGCACTTGAGTTACGAGCCAGGTGAGAGAGGCTGGCTACTAGAGGTGCCCGACTGTCGATGCCCGCTTCATCAGACATGAGCGACGAGTTCGACAGCAGGGGATTGAATGAGTCCAGATGGGATCTGCGAAGAGACGATTGCGGCATCGGCAATGACACGATCTGCTCCCCTGAGAATGTGATGGTCGAGGGAGGTCTCCTCAAGCTCAGGGGGAGGCTGGATGGTCCTCTGGCCCTTGGTGCTGGCATTGTCGCGAAAACGCCGATGACGCATGGCGCGTGCGAGGTGAAGCTGCGCTTTAAGGACAGGTGAGCACAGCAGAAGCAAATCGTCCGTGGGAAATATGGCAACGTACAATGTGTTTGTCCAGATTTGGGTGGCACGAGGTGGGCAGATACACTTCACAGTGTCTGTATGTGGGCCTCTGCATCTACCTGGCTCCCCGCTTGCAGGCTGCGTGGGCGAGGGGCGTCCCTGCAATGGCATCTCGTGGGGACTTCGATTGGGGAGCATTCAATCGGCTAGAGATTGACATGTTCGAAGTACGACACAGACGGCACATATGGATGGCACACATGATGGCTCTCTGCGTCTTTCGTAAGGCCGTGTGTTGCGCGTGTCTTGTTTAGAATTGGTTCAACGGGCACATGACGCAAGGGGGCTACATGTGGCTGGGAGAGGAGGAAACAGCACGAGCAATGGACAAGCCCTTTTTCCGCGCCGAAGGCAAGACATTCGTCGGCCACCTGCCTTTCACAGGCAACGACTATCCTTACTCAGCTATCCCTCGTCCCCACAAGTGGCACATCTACGGGTATGAAGCGAATGATAAGTATTGGGCCTTCTATATCGGCGGCAAGCTCATGTACGGGGGCAAGAAAGAGATTATCGACGTAAGGGACATCTACTCTCTTCCAAACTTCCGCCCACAAGTGAGCGACTCAGTGACCTACTCGGGCTGAGTAGGTGTGTATTGTGTGTGTCTTGATCAGCATTTTGTCATGTTCAACGTCTTAGCGACGAAGGGTCAGTCTCTGCGTGACGGTATCGAGCCTACCGCTGGCATGGACGTAGATTGGGTCCGATGCTACTCCTACAATGATCAGGAGGGAGCCGCCAGCGCCCACATGTCGGGCATTTGGGAGACCTATCCCCGGCTGATGCCGGAATGCATCAGCGATCCTACGCGCGTGGATGACCCGGAGTGGACCAACGGTTCATGCAGGTCGGCACGAGACACAGAGACAGAGATAGATAGCCACTCAGCAACAGAGACATGCTGTCACGCTCATGAGATTTCGCGCATGGATGTTTCAGGAGGCAAGACGTGGTCGCTGGGGCCGGCCCTGATGGTGGCCAGACAGCCACATGGTACCAGCTGGCCATTAAACTGATGCAACGCTTGCGGAACGAGACTGGGATGACTTCTGAGGACATCGCGCCTATTTGCCAGCAGCTGGACGGGGGCAGGGGCGAGCGGCGTGTGACGATGGGCAATGAGTCGTGGGTGCCGCTCGCGTATGCCGTTTGTGCAAGCAGGGTGCTCCCGCGTGCCCTAAAATGATCGTTGTACGGCTAATCGGCAGCATTTGTGTTTTCTGTGCGTTTTCCCGGCTTTCATATATTTGTGTAGAGTGCCCCTTTGAGAACCCCAATAGGGGTTGGCGTTTTTGTATTTTGTGCACGTGCTGTGCTTGCAAGCTGCTGGTGGATGGGGTGAATGCGTGTATGCACAAAGATGCATTCTGCAGTTTGCTTGACAATGATAGAGATACATTGAGATATGTCCCGTCAGGCACGGAATTATTAATGCACATCTATCGTCGTCACTAATTATGATGATGCAACTCGACAGTAATGCTGTAAACCGTCCATCCGTCTCACTGCCGTCTCTGCGGCACGTCAGCTATGCCTGCAGCCATGCCTGCCTGCCTGCCTGTCTGTGCTGGTGTGACCATTGCACTCACCCGCTCCAGCACCACGTGAGTCAATGCATCCACAGGATTAGATAACTCGCCAAGCAAAAACAACAGAGGGAAATCTACTAACGACAAATGTCAAATACACGTACACAGCTGCTCGAATTCCGCATCAATGTGCTCGTTCGGCAAAACAAAGACACATTTTGGAGCGGCACACAGCACAATCCTGTATGCGCTGCATGCGTAGAGTGGCGTCTATAGACCCCCTTGCCTTCCCCCTCTCCCTCTCATTTACTCTCAGTGCAGTATGACTGCGTCCGGCGCTATTGTGATGCCCACATTGGCGATCGGCGTCGCTATGCCGCGGAGTGAGACAAGGTCAGGGTGGCAAGCGCCATCATGATCTTGCACCACGTAGCGCTGCATACGAGCACACACACATACACACACACGCGCACACACACAAGATGAGCAAACAAGTGTCCCTGCTAGCACAAGGCAGCTCACCACTCGGCATCTGCCGTCGCTGGGCGCCGAGAAGCAGTAGACCTGCCGAAATGCAGTCCACAACAAAGGCAGATATGGGCGACTGACGCGTGACGTCGCTACCTTGACGGAGACGCCTTCATCAGGGTCGCCGTGGAAGCCACCAACATCGATGACCACCGAATCCTACATAGTCACGTCACACAGGTGCACATGTGAACAAGAATTAAGGCGACAAGACAATGCCTGACTGACGCGCACCTCGAATGTGCCCTCCCCATCAGACAGGGCTCCAGAGTATGCACACCTAGTGTCGACACGGCCCCTATAACGACGAAACAAAAGTCAGCGATTGAGTGCGAGGATGGGGTCGTTGCTTGCGGCATGTTCGTCCGTACTTGTTGTCTCTGTCGCAGACGTGCAGGTCAACGTCTCCCTCGAGAGAATCGGCAGCTGACCAGCCAGGGGAATGATGGACATCGAGCAACCAGACGCACGGGAAGGATGAAAGCATATGCAGTAGGCGTACCTACGACGATCCATGGGTACGTGAACTCGTCTGGCCAGTTGATCTTCAAATAGATGGACTCCTTCGCCTCCAAAGCCAACTCGATGTCGGCCGGCGGCGCTACACAGCACACAAGCGCAGCAAATATTTGACGAATGAACACTCTCGCCACATGATGGTCAAGCTCACGTGGGCAGGTGGTCTCGCTGGGACTGGGGTAATTCATCTCTGCATTAACGAAAAGCACATTCGAAGGCAATGCAGTTCCTGCCTATCAAACACGTACCAGAGATGGCATCCACATCACTCCATGTCAGCTCGTTCTGTATATCTCCTCTGGGCTTGCTCGTCAGCGAGAAAGTGTCACCGGTCTTCTTGATCGTCAAGTCAGTCCTGCTATCCAGAAGAGCCTCCTTGAGCTGCGCCGGGTCGTCCAGACTGACAGGAACAAATCAACAAATCAGCAAATATCGAGTCCGACAGACGAGTCTATTACTGAGGAAGCACTCACTCCATGTGGCGCTTCTCCTCCTTGGTGTCTTTCTTTTGGTCCTTTGGGTGCTTGATCTCGTCTGCGTCTGTTGTGCCCTCGTCTTTCTTGTCCTTGTCACCTTTGTCTTGTTTCTTGTCACCTTTGTCTTCTTTCTTGTTATCCTTCGGGTGCTTCAAGACGTCGGTCGGATGCTTGATCTCGTCGGGTTTCATATCTTTGTCAGCCAACTCGTTCTTGTCCTCTTTCTTGTCGTCTTTCTTCTCCTTCGGGATCTTCAGCACGTCCTTCGGTTGCTCGACGTCGTTCTTCTCCTCCGTGTCCCCGGCGTCGTATGTCATCCTTGCTGTCATCATCACTTCGGAATCCCATAGCCGGAGCAGGCGAGCCAGTTCAATGTCGATGGAATGGCCTTCGTCGACAATTTGTGCAAGCGAGAGGGCGACCCAAAGGCCGCAACAGGCGAGAACTAGCGCACGGGAAGCCATCGATTTGACGTGTATCGGAAATTTACAAGCTAACTCTGTACGGACTCGCAACGGGAAAATATCATTTTGGGAAAACAGCCACGAAAGGCAGACAGGCCGGCACTCTCTCAATTAGCATCATGAAGAGCCTGTCGTTTGCCGTCCTCGCCATGCTCGCCGCCTTTACCATGGCTCAGGTAAGTGACGTGTTGGCAAGGGAGAGGAGCCGGGCAGGATACACGCCGACGCGCTGGTTTTACTTGTGATATGTGCTTGCGTGCAGAGGGCCGCGGCCGCCGTGGATGAGACCACACGTGAGTGAGACACGTTACAGCGCCATGCTCAGTCTGCACACGATGTCATCTCGATGGCCCGTCCATGTGTGCTCTGGCGCAGCCAAGCCAGCCGAGGAGGAGAAGTGCTGCTGGGAGTGCCATCTCTTCGACTTCCATTGCTGGAAAAACGAGTGCCGATGGGACGCCTGCACTGAGGAGTGGAAAGAGGAGCATCCCGAGGAGGCGGCCCTGGCCGAACAGAAGATGGAGGCATGCGCACACCTGCAGAATGGGGGTAGCGAAGCATGTAAGTACGTAGGTCTTAATTAAATGCCAAGGCGCGATGGATACCTACCGGCAAGGCAACCCCGCACATGTTCGTTCGTGTGTTTGTCATGTCTGTTTGCAGATGCTCAGCTCCGCCTGGGCAATTCGGCACCTCTCAGCGTGACGCGAACGGAGTGCGAGGCCCTCAGGATGAACATCGAAGCAGCCACGCGCCCTCGTACGTTCAACCAGCAGAGGCATACGCGTGTGTGTGAGCCGACCATTGTGTATGTCAGGTGATGACTTCGGTGACTGCTGCTGGAAGTGTCAGATCTGGGACCATGATAGCGACTGCTTTGAAGACTGCTTCTGGAAGATGTGGTGCTAATTCTGCGCACCCTGGTACTCATTAATGCTGATCGCACGTGACAACTCATATGCGTCGACCGTCCTGCTTGCAGGTCAAGGGCGCATCCATCCAGGCACGCCATCTCATGGGTGCCTGCCTTGTGGCTCCACTGTAATATTTTTCTCGCCTTTCATACAAAGGGGGGAGAGAGCGCAGGGCTGCTCGTGCGCCTGTCTGTGCATGTGTGCGTGGGGGGGTGGGTGAGTGCGAGTCCTTGTCCGTTGTGTCTTTGACCGTGCCGCCTGTCATGTCCGCTTGGGTGTCTATTTGTCTGCTGTGACGAGAAAGTGGCACACGTGTATTTCACATGATGGTTGATGCACAATTAGCAAGCTGCATCTCTCCTCTCTGGCCCTTTTCTGAGTGGTATTGGTGGATGGGGCCACCGCCCATGATTTTCTTCTTGCCTCTTGCTTTGCTCTTGCTTTTTCGCTGGCTATTTGTCGTTTCCTGCATACAGACTCACGCTCGTACTCACACTTGTGGTCTTTCCGTTTTCCTTCTGTCTGTCGCTTGCGAATGTCTGTCATTTGCGTGATGGTCTGTCTCCTATTTTTCAGGGAGACTTCTCTCTGGCTTCTCTTTGACGAAAGCCCTTACCTACGAGATAGCGGTATGTGCCTGACCAGGGCGATCGACATACGTACGTACATACCTGCATGTCATGTGGATGCTCACACATGGACACGCTCCTCCTCTGTGCTTGCTTCTTTTTCCGCTCGGTATTTCTCGTCTCACGGGACGCATGTATGCGTCAAGGTTCTTGTGGCACTGCCTCCTTTCCGCTTCTTCCTGTTGCTTGCGAATGTCATTTGCACAACGGCTTGGGTGTGCTATTTTCTCCCGCTTGCAGAGATGGCGTTGTCTGTTCGGTGCGTGTTGCTGTTCGTGAATGAGAGAGGCAGATGAATGAGTGAATGCAGAGACCCAAGAGATGGAAATACCGGCATGTTGTGCGTGATGCTTGTGCGTGAGTTGTGCGTCTGCGTCATGTCGTGTGTGGATGTTTGTTGGCCGGTTTGGCATGCTCCAAATCGAGTGCCTCACCGGTCGGTTGGCTCACTGATGGCTGCTGCATGGAGACAGACAGACACTGGATTGACGGCAATGAAATGACTGACACATGGAGGTCTTCTTCCTTGGCTGGACCGAATACATGTGGCACAAATGGCATCTCGCGGACGGCAGAAATCGAGAAGGCAGACATGTGATGAAACAGAGAGGTGTGAGTGGCTGTCGACCAGTCAGTCTGCTTGAGAGAAAGGTGTCAATCTGAAATGAAACTAATAGACGAGAGGGGCCGACAGCCACTGCTCTGTTGCGCTTTGCTTCTTTCAATACGGTCGGGTTTCGCACACCACACATTCAAGCCCATTCACGATTCACTGGTCAGTTCGATTGTCTCACGTCTCACAGTCGCATCACTGTGTCTCTTTCCCCAATCATTTTTGTCCCTCGTCAAACGCTCACAAACATGCCGGCCATCAGCCAACGAGCCGGCTCCTCCATTTTGGAGGAGCCCTCGCTGATTTGCTGATAGCACATCAGCCACACTAGACATGAATGAAACACCACCGCGAACAAGACACACAACAGCAGCTGCACGCCCGCCCGAGGATAAAACATTCACATGCACACAGCCGTCACTCGCGTCACGTGCGTGCCTCATATTCTACTGCGTCTCTGTCTCTGGCTATCTGTCTATAGAAGCACAGCAACGACGAAAAAGAGCACACTGCTGCAGCACAGTATCCGCAGCGAGCGCAACACAGCACTCGATGCGACGAAAAATGCCCTCGCCACTCACCAATCGCAGCGTAAGTCACAGGCATACCCGATGAATTAAAGACAAACAAGGATATACACATGGATGTACGGCCAGACCGAACGAAAAGAAAAGCAATCACACACGGTCAGACACGTGTGGTCGGCCGCAGAAACAGAACCCTCACTACCCTCATCGATGTAGACAAGACATCCGTGCACAGAAGGTGCATATATCCATGAGTGGGGCGCATCATTTTGGCGCCCAAGCACTCAGCAGTCGCACCAACACACCCACTCATAGTAGCAATAGGCACCCGCGCACAACCATTCTTCGTAGCAAACCTCATCACAAGGCCAACAATCCTGCTCTGTCGTCACTTGATTATCTGATGTCGAAGAAGGAAAGCAGGGAAGGCAAGTGCGGCGGGACAGCAACGAGTTTTGTCACCGATCACATACCTGTCTGGTTGACAGATGCGGTTGCGCCCTGTGTAGGTGAACAAAGAGGCAAGGAATCCATCACATGGCACGCGCAGCAATCACTCACCTCGGCCTTCCAGACTGTGTGCGTGATATCGTCGGAAGCTTGGTACACGGTCTTCTTCAACCCGCTGCCCGCCGGCAGCTCGTCAATGTTGTCGCCCTTCCGGACCCTCGAAATCAGCCCCTCAGCGAAGATTTGCTGCTGCTTTGTCAGGCGGTCAGGCCCGAACGACGCCTCAACGTTCTCGGCCGCAAACTGCAGCCTGGCAATGGACATGGCCTGGTCTCGCGACACATCACCTTTGGCCTTCAGGACACCGAAGCGCTTCGGCAGGGAGAGGCACTGCGGCGCGTCGTCTGACTCACCTGCACACACGCAAGAAACGCTCAAGTCACTCAGTTGAGGTAGTAGACATTGCACTCTGACCTGCAGGCCGCGCCAGTTTGCGAAGCTGACCGTGACCGACGCCAGCCAGGGCCAATAGGAGGAGGAGGCAGAGCACACGCGACATCAGAGCGAGGGATGAGGGCAAGGGGAGATGGGCAGGGGGGAAGGTTCGCGCAAGGAAGAGCCTCAAGTGGGGGCGAAGAGCGGAGAGGGAGAAGTGTGCTTTCTGGTTCTGTAATGATCTCCGTTGCGGTGCTCTCCTCCGTTGCGGTCTCCCATTGCGGCGCTCCGTTGCGGGTAAAAGCCAAAAGCTCGCGTGTAAATGTAAATGTACGGATGTAAACGAGCGAAGTCAAATTGTGGCAAAATCGAGAGCTGGGGTCTTTGAAGAGCAAGTGACCCGGCGAACAAAGACCATCTGATTCTGTTGCATCTCTTTCGGCCTCAAAGACTGTTTTCCATATGGCAGGAGAGGCGATCCGCATGCGAATTCAAGAGAGAGGGTAACGGAAGGGAGTAACGGAAACCGGTAGCGCCTCCCCCATCCTCATCCTCCGTTCCTTCGTCCGGCACATTTCATCCAGGCGGCAGCTCCCCCTTCTCCCTCGCTGTGAATCTTTCTCTGCTCATCTCTTTCGCTCCTTCCTTCTAGCCGCCACCGTCCCCCACGACGATGTTTGCTCGCGTCCTTGGGCTCCTGTTCCTCGTGACTCTCACGGTCGGCGCCTCCTCCCCTCTACGCAAACTCGCACCCGAAGGTGCATATGATGGTGAGCCACGCCACGGTTGCACGCAGATCTGACGTGCCCTCACTATCCTCCTGGTCCTCTCTCTTGTCTTTCCCCAGGTGATTCCCCCGACGACGAACTCACCACCACTGAAGAGCCGTCTACCACCACTGAAGAGCCGCCCTATGTCCGAACCGCGGGAAAGCCGTCCATTCTGTCAGTGGTCACTGAATGCGACCCGACTGACCTGGACTGCATGCCCCTGGCGCCCGGAGGTAAGCGAGCGAAGTCAATTGTGACCATCGAGAAATGGCTTTCTGTCTCTCCGCTTCTGTGTGCCGTCAGCCGTCCGTTTCATCTCCCCTACAATTCATGTCGCGCAGAACGATTCCAGCATCAGTAAGCAAGCGAAACACTGGCGTCGCGTGTGTTTCTCATTCTTCGCCGCCACACTCGCTTCCAGGTGAGGCAGGTGCTGCGCGTGTAATTTGCAACGACAGAGACTCAGCCTGCGCTTCGGTAGAGGGTACGTCATTCCAGAGATTATGTGGTCGCTTGTTGTTCACGCATTGGGTTTCTCTCACTCAGCCCAATTCAAGGCCCGGCAAGTCGCAATAGACAATCCTCTTAGTCCTGGGGAAGACATCTTTGTGGATCGCTGCAACATAGCAGGGAACTTATTCACTTGCAACAAACCTGCTGCCGACGTGAGAAAAACAAAGCAAGCGATTTGATGTATTGCGATGCGTTGTGTTTTCCCATTGACAGGAATACTGCAGACAAAAAGTAAAAAATTCCATCACGGCAATATCCTGGTCTGAGTCAACTTGCTCAAGAACGTACCATCTCATCGGCGGTACCATCTGCACCTCTTTTCTCGGTTGCTGGTGCTTCGGCTCCATCGATTGCCAGACTGTCTGAACTTGCTGTCTGACTATGTATGGATGGATGTTCTGGCTGCTGTGGATGGGCTGGATGTGGGTGATCGGCTGACTTGTCACTTTTCCGGCCATGCTGGCCGCGCACGAGCGCTCTCCCAGACATGCGAAGCGGGCATGTGTGAGAGGGTCCTCCTCGTGCGCCAGCTGACTGTCATTGACTTTGGATGCACACCTTGCACGCACACATGGACCCTGCGCGCGCCGTCCATTCGTGCGTCTCTGCCGAGTCTGCTTCTTTTGCGCGACGCACACCTGTCCGCCAGCAGCGCACAGGGTCGGGGGAGGGGGTCATCGCCCGCAGCTTGCCACCCCTCACTGTCTGTTTCTTGCTTTTCCCATGTGTATCTCCTGCCGTGTATGCCATATGTGGTGAGGCCGCGTGCTGTGTTTTGTGTGGGTGTCTGTCTGTCGGTCTGTCGGTCTGTCCGTCGTACTCGAAAAGGGAGGGACAGGCCGATCGACGAGCTGCCCACTGCACACATGCGTGGCTGACGCACTCAAACTGTAGTGCGGACGCAGCCATGAATTACGCCATGTGTTGTGACACAAATTTGTGTTGCCTGCACAGTGTAAAAACACGGCTAGCTCACGTGTGGTACTTGAGATTCAGGGGCGTGGCATGGAAAGGATGGATGATGGTGTCTCGTCGGCGGGTCTCTCTTCTGGCGATTGATTGCATCGACCTGCTCTTCTACATCACACTGTTGATTGTGGGGATTGATTCATGGGGATTGCCCTGAGTGAACAAATACATGCCACCAGTGTACATCGTGAATACAGATGTCATGAAGCCATGCAGCAGGCACGCACGCACGCACACACACGAGCTTTGCATCAATATGTGGACGTGCAGATATCAACACCAACCCATATGCAATCGCACACACACGCTGCACCAGGCTTGTTTGAAGCCCCTATTACTGTGCGTAAGGATTGATCGCTATACATGCACACCAAGCCATCCGCATCGCAAAATCGGCTGCGCGAATTCGCTCAGGCAAAAAGGGGTATGACGAGACAACACAGACAGGGAAAAGAATTCATCCATTGCAAGGGCACCCCTACTACCCTATCCTAGCCCCCCTCTGCTTGCGCCTGCCGTCCTGTTGCGGGCGGCAGGAAGGTGCTGCTCGCGACCATCGCACCCGGCTCCTCATCCAATGTGCTTCCACTGGTCGTCGTCTGCAGACAATGCGACGACCCATTCACTGTCGCCTCCTTGTCCACACCTCCAATGCTCAACGTCGCGTAGAACGGCGACGACCCGGGCTCCGCCACATCGACCGCGTCAACCGAGCCTTGCTGCTGTCCCTCCCTCTTGTGTTGCCGTCTGGCAAGCAGGGATGATGGCCCGACCGGCTCGGCGATGTCACGCCTCCCCGCATCCACATGAAGAGACGACGGCACGCCTGTTGGCTCGTCGACGAGAGACACGTAGTCGTCGCTGTCTTGTTGGTCCTCCTGCACACTGCTGACGGGCGGAAGATGGGTCTTCCGCTGTCTGCTGGGTCGTCTAGAATGGGTGAGCCATGGCGGCCACTCTGCTGCTGGGTGAGGCTTCTGCGCTCGGATGGGGGGGCTCCTGGCTGCTGCTGCTGCTGCCGTACTGTACGATGGGGGAAACTCCAGCTCAAACAGATTGAGGGAGTCCAGGGAAGGGCTCTGCATGTCGGCCTGCACCCATCCATCCATCCATCCACCGACACAATTATCATATCAGCGCACGTACAATTGCGCGTATGTGTCGTACCTGGTTGCTTTTCTGAGTGCCGAAGGGCATCCGCTCAGATAATGGGGGCGAGGGAACGGGCTCTGCCAAACCCACACAGACACCACACAAATGATGAACACCCTCTTCTGTGTTGTGATGCATGCATCCATCCATCCATTCATCCGTGTTCCCTCCTCCCTCTCCACCTCACCTGTTCCCCTCCGCTTGCCCCCAACGCGCCGGGCCCCTCCCCCCTGCCCAAGGTGGGCAGACAGCTCACGCAGCCTAAGGTCCCACTGGGCGCTCTGCAGCGTCCTAGTTATGGCCTTCACAGAGCCCCCATGTGCCTCGCAGAACGGATTGGGCGTGTGATCGAGGTTCGGGTTGGTCTCTGAGCGCTTCAGGATGCCCCTTGGCGGCCGGGCAGAGAAAAATGATGGAGGGATGGGATGGGCGAAGAACGTCTGCCGTGTCTGCGGCTGGCGGGTGGTGTGGGTATGCGTGTCGTCGTTTGGGTTGTCGGGTGGCTGCCATGGGTGTGAGGGCAGGTAAGGGGAGCCGCCAGAGGGAGTGGCCGAACAGTGGGGGGAGGGAGAATCTAATGGACACCAGACACGCGAAGATCCCAACGTGTGATCGTGTCTGCGTACGTATGTCTTGTGTGTGCGTACTTTCTCCCCGGCGGCTGGGCGGCTTGTCGGCGTTCTTTGGCGACGACGGGGGAGTGGGCGTCAGCTCGACCGCTGGCGTGTCGGGGTCCTGGGGACGCATCACATGCATGCACCACACACATCCATCCATCTGTACCCATTTGCGCACTCTGTCTGTTTGTATGCGTACCGTCAGCAGCCGCCTGTGTGCCTTGATGATCCGCTGCTGGGGGCCGGGCGCCGGCACCGTCGTGCGGATCTGTGTGCGCACAGAGCGCATGTGGGGATTCATTCATCCGTCGATCGAAGTGCATGTTGCTGGGGACTCACTGTGTGTTCCGTCATATCGATAACGTCCTGCTTTGTGCATATGTGGTTATCCAAGAACTTCCGACGCCTGACAACGCAGAAATGCATTACGGATGGATGGATGGATAAACGGAAACGCCATACATTCAGATGGTGCAATATATCCCTCCGCTCACCACGGCTCCTTCAATCCGAGGTCGGCCAGGAACTCCTCCACAAAGCAGTCCCCTGTAGTGGCCTCCCCATCCCTCTCCTCACACGACGTATGGCCCGTCTCGCCATTCACCGCTGCACATGCGCCCGCGTCCCCGCACCTCGCCGGCCCACCTGTGCCGTTCTCCGTCTTGACGTCTATTCTCGTCTCGTCGGATTGTTGCTCCTTGTCTCTGTCGAAGGACGACTGGCCCTCGTAGTAGAAGGACGTGCCGGGCGGGCCTGATATGCGAGTGGGGCGGGCGGGGCGCGGGGAGGGGGCGGGGAAGGCCTGGAAATCACCAAGGGGACATACACGGACAAAGAGAGAAAAATGGGGGGGGGGGGGGGGGCC